ATCAGCATGTAATATATTTTTATATTTATCCACAAAAATAATTCTTGTAGTTACGTCTAGATTATTATCTATCTATGTTTTCTGTAGTTAGACAATAAACATAATAATAGATATAAAAAAGTGTAGGTGAGCATGGGCGGGTCGGCCCTCCGGGACGAGCCCATTTTGCCACCTCTAACTGTCAACATTTTATATAAGCATGTAATAGGTTTTTATATCTATGAACAAAAAAATTCTTATAGTTGCATCTAGATTACTATCTATCTATATTTTCTATATTTAGACAGTAAACATAAGAAAAAAAAAGTGTTGACGGGCGGGGTGGGCCGGGCCGAACCCATTTTACCACCTTAACTGTCAGCATTTCATATAAGCATGTAATATATTTTTATATCTCCACAAAAAAGATTCTTATAGTTGCGTCTAGATTACTATCTATATATGTTTTCTATAGTTAGGCAGTATACATAAGAAAAAAATATGTTGACTGTGCTAACTCGTCTGTTTGGCGGGCGGGGAGGGCCCAGCCCATTTTGCCACATATATATGTCAGCATTTTATACCGGCATGCAATTGGTTTTTATATTTATCCACAAGAAAAAGTTTCTTATAGTTGCTTCTGGATTACTATTTATCTATGTTTTATATAATTAGACAATAAACATAAGAATAAAAAAAAACTTTTGGTGCGCTGGGTGGGCCGGCCCTCCGGGACGAGCCCATTTTGTCATCTTTAACTGTCAGCATTTTATATTAGCATGTAATATATTTTTATATTTATCCACAAAAAAGGTTCTTATAGATTCGTCAAGATTACTATTTATCTATGTTTTCTATAGTTAGACAATAAAGATAATAATATATATATAAATAATTAATCCTAATAGGTATAATAATTACGCCCAATAGACATAAAAATAATTATTATTAATATGCTTAACAATTTCCCATGCAGAAAGTAGTGGGCAATATTAAATGTTGAATCTTTTTCTACCTATAAAGTTCAAAATTCAAATTTAAAAAATTTAAATTTTAAATATTTTCTCACGCAATAGACATAATAATAAATATTATTAATAGGCTTAATAATTTTCTATGTAGAAAGTATAAAGTAATGGGAAACATGCATAGAAGTCTGCGCACATTCCCCAAGTAATAGCTTCTAGATAATCATTCACGATATAGAAAATTGTGTTAATTACACTATTACATCAAAAGAATGAAAGTTTAATTTCTTTCTAATATATTTAATTTTAAAATTTAAAATCATATGATAATAGAATTAACTATATATACTTTTAAAAAATAATTTTTTCTCTTTTAATTTATATTATATACATATACACACATACATATATATATATATATATATATATATATATACATTTACAATATTTATCTTAAATATTTTTTAAAAAGTTTATAGTAAGAATTATTTTTTCCTTTTGTATCATTATTTTAAGTTAAGATTTTAATTTACTTTATTTTAAAGTATATTTTTATAATTTTAAATATTTTTTTCGTTTAATTAATCATTTTTTATTAAAATTATATTTATTTTATACAAACCTTTTCTCCATTTTTATAATTAATTCTAATAGGTATAATATTTAAGCCCAATAGACATAATAATAAATAACTATCATTAATATGCTTAATAATTTTCGATGCAGAAAATAGTGGGCAATATTAAATGTTGAATCTTTTTCCACCTCTCAAGTTCAAAATTCAAATTTAGAAAATTTAAATTTTAAGTTAAATATTTTTTATTGGATAAAAAAATATTTTCCCTCCCAATAGACATAATAATAAATTAATAGGCTTAACAATTCTCTATTCAAAAAATAAAGAAAAACATGCATAGAAGTCTATGCACAATCTCCAAGTAATAGCTTCTAGGTAATCATACACGACATAAGAAATTGTGTTAATTACACTCTTACATCAAAAGAATGAAAGTTTAATTTCTTTCTACTATATTTAATTTTAAAACTTAAAATTAAACATGAAAATAGAATTAATTATAAATACTTTTAAAAAATAATTTTTTTCTCTTTTAATTTATATTTTATATATATACATTTAAAATATTTATCTTAGGTATTTTTTAAAAGGTTTCTTGTACAAATTTGTTTTCCTTTTTGTGTCTTTATTTTAAGTTAAGATTTTAATTTAATTTATTTTAAAGTATATTTTTAAAATTTTAAATATTTTTTCGTTTAATAATTTTTATTAAAATTAAATTTATTTTATGCATATCTTTTTTCAAGTATTATAATAAATTCTAATAGGTATAATGTAACATCCCGGGCGCTGACGAAGGCGAGGAGTGATTGCCGGTGCGAAAGGGCATGGAAGATGAGCGGCTCCTGGAAGGCTTCCAGCGACGGGGTACACGAAAGAATCGAATCAACACCCGATAGAGAGGGATTCCAGAGACTGTGCTGGTATGGGACAGTACAGTTGGGAATGACTTATAAGAATTAATTGTTACTAGCTATACTAACAAGATGCATATACTTTTCGGTAGCCCGGAACGGAAGAACTCCATAGTTAAGCGTGCTTGACTTGGAGCAATTCTGGGATGGGTGACCTCCTGAGAAGTTTTCCCGGAAAGTGTGCGAGTGAGGACAAAACACGTTGAAAAGTCTCGTGTTAATGTGTGGGACAGTTGTTGATCCTTGCAAGTTGTCAGGCGTTACATATAATAATTAAGCCCAATAGACATAATAATAATATGCTTAATAATTTCCGATTCAGAAAGTAGTGGACAATATTAAATACTGAATCTTTTTGCACCTCTTAAGTTCAAAATTCAAATTTAGAAAGTTTAAATTTTAAGTATTAAATATTTTCCCTCCCAATAAACATAATAATAAATTAATAGGCTTAACAATTTTTTATGCAAAAAATAAAGGGAAACATGCGTAGAAGTCTGTGCACATTCTCCAAGTAATAGCTTTTATGTAATCATTCACAACATAGAAAATTGTGTTAATTACACTCTTACATCAAAAGAATGAAAGTTTGATTCCTTTCTAATATATTTAATTTTAAAATTTAAAATTCAACATGATAATAGAATTAATTGTACATACTTTTAAAATATAATTTTTTTTAATTTATATTATATACATATATATATATATATATATATATACATTTAAAATAATTATCTTATGTCTTTTTTAAAAAGTTCCTTGTACGAATTTTTTTCCTTTTTGTATCATTATTTTAAGTTAAGATTTTAATCTACTTTGTTTTAAAGTATATTTTATAATTTTAAATATTTTTATCGTTTAATTAATAATTTTTTATTAAAATTAAATTTATTTTATGCATATAATTTTTCCTGTTTAATAATTAATTCTAATAGTATAATTAAGCCCAATAGACATAATAATAACTATCATTAATATGCTTAATAATTTCTCATGCTGAAAGTAGTGGGCAATATTAAATGTTAAATCTTTTCCCACCTCCCAAGTTCAAAATTCAAATTTAGAAAGTTTAAATTTTAAGTGTTAAATATTTTCCCTCTCAATAGACATAATAACATATTAATAGGCTTAACAATTTTCTATGCAAAAAATAAAGGGAAACATACATAGAAGTTTGTGCGCATTCTCCAAGTAATAGTTTCTAGGTAATCATTCACGACATAGGAAATTGTGTTAATTACACTCTTACATCAAAAGAATGAAAGTTTGATTTCTTTCTAATATATTTAATTTTAAAATTTAAAATTCAACATGATAATAGAATTAATTATACATACTTTTAAAAAATAATTTTTTTCTCTTTTTCTTTATATTATATACATATATATATATATATACATTTAAAATAATTATCTTAAGTATTTTTTAAAAAGTTTCTTGTACGAATTTTTTTCCTTTTTGTATCATTATTTTAAGTTAAATTTTATTCTACTTTATTTTAAAGTATACTTTTATAATTTTAAATATTTTTTCGTTTAATTAATAATTTTTTATTAAAATTAAATTTATTTTATACATATTTATTTTCCAATTTTATAATTAATTCTAATAGGTATAATAATTAAGCCCAATAGACATAATAATAACTATCATTAATATTCTTAATAATTTTCCATGCGGAAAGTAGTGGGCAATATTAAATGCTAAATCTTTTTCCACCTCCCAAGTTCAAAATTCAAATTTAGAAAGTTTAAATTTTAAGTGTTAAATATTTTCCTTCCCAATAGACATAATAATAAATTAATAGGCTTAACAATTTTCTATGCAAAAAATAAAGGGAAACATGCATAGAAATTTGTGCACATTCTCCAAGTAATAGCTTCTAGTAATCATTCACGACATAGGAAATTGTGTTAATTAATAGTGAGATATTAATAGGGTTAACAATTACCTATGCAGAAAGTAGTGGGATATTAATGATGACCTCTTTTCCCACCTCTAAGTTTAAATTTTAAATTTGAATACTTTTCCACCTACCAATGCAAAAAGTAATGGGATATTAATGCTTTTCCACTACCCATGCAGAAAGTAGTGGATCATTAATACATGTGTCTTCCACTATATATTTTGAACTATTATTCCCACCCACCAATTTGAAATTTCGAATTTTATAAATTTCCAAACGAAGAAACATTTCAAATTCTTCCAAGTGTGAACACAAACCTAAGAATGAAGGAGAGAGTGACATGTCATCAAAGTTGCTAAAGTTTGGATGAAGATTTTATATATTATTGCATTCCTATATTTTTTTATTAAAAAAAAGTAGTTCTACTAAATAATGTTTCATTTTAATTAGGTAATATTTTTAACTAAGCCATCTAAATACTTTTCCAACGCAGTATCTGAAAAGTTTGAGGGGATATTATGATAAAAACGAATGGATAGATTGCTTGAGTTTACCTTTTCAAATACTGTTAGTTGTAAAACGAAACAAAGCAACTTTTTTTTTATAAACAGAAGGCCTAAGCCCAACCAAACAGAAAAAACAAAGAAAAGAAATTAAAGGCTACACACCACATCATGTGGTCTACTAACAGAAGCCAAATCAGCCATCAACAGAAGCCTAATACATAGAGGAGGCTCCCACCAGATTCTTTTAGAAATATGCTCACGATCATCTAAAATGGAATTAGCCAACCAATCCGCACAAGAATTCCCCTCCCTGTAAGTATGCTGAAAAGACACTGCCCAGTTTCTTTGTACCCATATCCGTATACGAGATATCAGAAGACACTCACAGATTGCTACACCATTTTTGGTTAGCAGAGTGATTACAGAAGAAGAATCATTTTCAATGATCACATTACGGTAGCCAACACTCCAAGCCATCTCTAAACCCTTAAGCACACCCCACTACTCAGCTTTAAAAGAGGTACAAAACCCCAGCCTATAGGCAAAACCACCCAGCCACTTACCATTAGCATCTCTCATAACACCACCACAGGCTGCAATACCCGAATTACCACGAGCAGCCCCATTAGTGTTTACCTTAATTATACCAGGAGAAGGAAACTGCCAGGAAATATCAATGGTCATTGTTCTTCTCTTAGCAATTCTTGGTATTCCATAATCGTAATAATAATAATCAACCATAATACGCTTTACGAACCATTTTTTTATGACTATTATGCATGATTACTTTTTGTATATGAAACGTTATTAAGATGACAATCCATTGGTGGCTTATCCTTTTCCATTGTAGAAATTTAATTAACATGAATATCCATTTAACAATGTCTGTTCATTTCCATATAAAATTTTTAATGCATAATCTTATGAAAAAAATAAAGACACTCAAAAAATTTAATGACATGGTGGCTCCTTGTTTCCTAAAACATAATGATCAAGACATGGTGGCTCCTTGTTACATGTATTATATGAAACGTTTTTTTGCTTGTATGTGTTTTAATATAAATTTATTTTATTAAATTCTATTTACTTTTTAAAATTAAAACAAAGGAATTAATATTTGAATGACTGCTCATTTTTGTAGAGTTAAATTTGGAGGATTTGAATGATTACTAGACTAATACATGTAACAACTATAATAATTATTGGTTCAAGGAATATTAAAAGTTATATAGCTTATTCAAGACAAACATGTGAGAACAAAATTCTAGCAACAAAAGTATAGAATTAGTGTCTTCTAAATCACCATTTGAAACTATGTTGCTGGGTTGCATTGGTCTAGCATCGGACACACTTCGAACATCCTTTGAAGAAATAGATGATGGTTTTATGAGGTTGAAGTAGTATCATTCATATCAAACTCATCACTTCCACCATTGTGGTAAACATATCTGTCAAGAACAAAAATAAATTAAAGAACAACAACAATAGTGAGAAACAAATTTTGTATGGACAGAAAAAATAGAAGGGAAAACTCATCTTGCTCTGGCAAGTATTAAAGATAGAAAACATAAGGACTTTAAGATAAAAGAGAAATGTTTACCGTGTTGAATTTTGAGATAGTGCCCAAGGCTAAACATAAATATTTAATCATTTAAAAGTAAGGACATTTTATTATATCATCTCGTTCATGATATTGTGTTATGAAAAAAAAATACTTGTAGAAGAAAAAAGATAGACAAGAATGTCAAACCTTCATCTGAGGAAGTAAATAAATACATATTCTAGTGATTCCAAATCATCCCGTCAGCTTTACTCTACAATTGTGCTACAAAAAAAAGAAAAATATTACATGTTCATCTAATAGAAAAACAACTTGATAAGATGAAGAACATAAATAGGCAGAGAAGAGAAGAAACATATGCACAAAAGCTAATTACCAAATGAAAAGACCCATTAACACATCCTATTTATACACAAAATAATTTCATTTTTTAATAATTAAGCCCAATAGTGGGATGTTAATAGGGTTAACAATTATCTATATGCAAAAAGTAGTGCGATATTAATAATGAACTCTTTTCCCACCTTTAAGTTTAAATTTTGAATTTGAATACTTTTTCACCTATCAATGCAAAAAGTAATGAGATATTAATACTTTTCCACCTTCCCATGCAGAAAGTAGTGGATCATTAATACATGTGTCTTCCACTATATATTTTGAATTATTCTTCCCACCCACCAATTTGAAATTTCAAATTTTAAAAATTTCCAAAATAAGAAACATTTCAAATTCTTTCAAGTGTGAACACAAAGCTGAGAATGAAGGACAACGTCAGCAAAGTTTCCATGGTGGGTTTAAGATTCTATATATTAAGATACTATACGTTATGATATTTTCAGTTGTTTGGTGTGATCGTCGTATAGTATAAGCTTATACAGCAGAACCCCTTAATACATCAAAATGATGTATAACTTAATCAGGCCTAAGGGGTGGGATTAGGCTTGATAAGAGATTGATGTTTTAATATTGCTTACAAGTACAATTCTCAAGAACTAATATATCATTTCAATATTAATATATTAAAATAATTGTTTTTAATATATTTATTTTTAAAATATTGGAGGATATCATCTTATACAATATCATGCCAAATGCTAGATAGTATTAAAATTTAATCAGATCTTATACAATGAGATATTATGCTATCATGCCTTATCCAATACTATGCACCAAACATGCCCTTAGTGTCAATGATCATTGGTCTTCCACGTCTTGCCTCGTTGGAGTTTGAGTAGAGGTGGCAATATGGGTTGAGCCCGGCGGGTCAACCCATCGACCCGCTAAAACGGGGCGGGTTGGGTTGAGGTTTTCAACCCACCAACCCACCTCAACCCGCCCCGCCTAGAAGTGGGTCAAAACGGGTTCAACCTGCCGCGAGGCGGGTTGACTTGCCGGGGTATATATATATATATTTTTTTTTTACAATTAGGTAGTATTTCATTAGTCCTTAAATTTTTGTGATATCCAATTTTTTTTTTATCTTGTACTTCTTAGAAAAAATAAAGAATAACAATTTTATTTATGACAAATGTTATCTATATATAAATTCCTAAAGAATGTTTGACAAATATTAATATACATTTAAGATTGAGACTAAAAAAATATAGAAAAGTGTGAAATAAAATAAAATAATATTTGAAAAATTCATAAAATATAATTTATTTTTAAATTTTAATTGATTTTTTTTAATTGGCGGGTTGACCCGCCAACCCACTATAAATCGGGATGGGTTCATTTTTCCAACCCATATTTTTGACAGGTCATCCCGCCCCGCCCCGTTTTTGGCGGGTTGTGGCGGGGCGAGGCGGGTCGGGGCGGGTCAACCCAAATTGTCACCCCTAAGTTTGAGACGTTGAAGAAGTATCCACACGAAGGTTGAGAAGATGTCGACCACGTGAATAAAAGAAAAAATATTATGATAAAGGATGAGAAAAAGACAGTCGTTGATTAAGAACATTTCTTGTGGTTTGATTATGTAAAATCACACATAAGAAGAATATGTTGATTCACTTCCTCTTTTATGGCCTTGTCAGCCCAAAATTCTGAAAAAAAAAGTTTTTGTATGTAAATTTTTTATCACGAAAAACAATAAGAAAGTGGAAAAAATGACCACTCTCTACATGAAAGATGCAAAAGTTAGAATAGAAGAGAAAAAACGATGAGAGATTTTAGACTTTCCCTTGATGCCGTAGAATTTAAAATTTTCCTTTCTAAATAAAGTAAATAACTAGTTAATATTTTGTTATATTTTCAAAATTATTGATATAAACATCCATAAAATATTTAACAATAAGGGTATATGTGATGTATGAGGCATAATAGTATAGGTAGGGATGACAAAACAGGCTCAGCCCGCCGGGCCGGCCCGGCCCCGCCTGCCACACAGGGCTGAGCGGGCTGAGTTTTCCAAACCCGCCGCTCGCCAAGCCTACCAGCCCGCCCAGGCTGGATTTTTTAATTTTCTTTTCTTTTTTTAGTGCAAAATCTGATGGGCTTGGCGGGCTGAGTTTTCTTGACCACTTTCACAGGCGGGGTAGGGCGGGCCAGCCCGCTTTTTGGCGGGCTTATGGCGGGCACAGGGGGGATGAGGCGGGCAGCCCGTTTTGCCATACCTAAGTATAAGTTTATATGTTATGACATTTTTAATTGTTTGATGTGACCATCAGATATTATAAGCTTATATAACAAAATCCCTTAATACATCAAAATGATGTATAACTTAATTCAGCCTAAGGGGAAGGGATTAGGCCTGATAAGGATAAGAGGTTGATGTATTAATATCGTTGACCAGTGTAATTCTCAAGAATTAATATATTATTTTAATATTAATATATTAAAATAAAAATTAATTTTTCAATTATTAATTTTTAAAATATTGGATATTTTGATTTTTAAAAAAATAATTTATTTTTTGGACACTATCAATAGATTTTTGTAAAAATTAATATCATATGATATTTTTGGAATAATTATATAAATCTTTTATTAAATGATATTTTTATCCTATCTAGTATTTTACAATGCATTACCAAATATTAGATGATATTATCTTATACAATATATTATTTTATACAATATCATGTCAAACGATGGATAATATTAAAATTCAATCAAGTCTTATACAACCAGACTTTATACTATCAGATTTATACTATCAGACCTTATCATATACTATGCACCAAACATGCCCTAAGTAATTTTAAATTCCCCAAAAAAAATAATTTTCTGGTACAATTATTTTTTCCAAACACTAACATACCTGTCACAAAATATTTTCTTTAGCCATCAATATGAATGAGAAATTTTTTTAAAAAATATAAATGACTTTTTAATAAAGATTCTCAAAGTCAAAAATTATTTTTGAGTCAAAGTGATCTTTTATGGTTTTATCCGTCCAAAATCCCCAAAAATATCTTTGTTATAAAAAAGGAAAAATATTATCTTATGCTGTAGGAGAGTATTTTTCTCTCCTACACATACATCGACTTCCGTGTTGTTTTTTTTTCTTTTTCTTTAAGTGAGTGGGTCCCACTCATAACTATCTCTATGACATAAGAGAGCTCATGAGGCTTTTTGACTACTGTAGCCCTTTATTAATAATTATTTACCAAATTGCCCTTGATTAGAAACTATTACGAAAAATTAACCCTCCAAACAAACATAACACCAATCTGCCCCTGTTTGACCGTTGACCACGAAGCATACCCGGGTACCCCACTCCATACCCGGGTATATTTTAAAAAAATCAACCATACCCGGGTATGTAGGGGGGTACCCGGGTATTGTTCTTCAATCTGGAAATTCTTTGAATTATTTACCCGGGTAGGTAATGGGGTACCCAGGTAGATTTCGCGAATAGGGTTTTTTAAAAGCCCCAGCAGCCCCCATTTGGAAAACCCACAAAGGGTACCCGAGTAGAGAGCTGCTGAAGTGCGATTTCGTCCATTCTGGGAGCACGTTTGATCGATCATCTCAAGACTTTGTCATCATCCTTGGCGCACGGTATGGGTTCCTTCTACCGATTGCTAATTTCAAGATTTGTTATTTTTTTCCGTTTGAATTTCTGATTCATCATAAAATTCGGCCTGACCTTGATGTAATCATGTATGCATTTTAATTTATTGCTTTGCGTATTGTTAATTTTCGTTTTCAAAATGCATTCTGATTTGTTGCTAATAAAAAACCCTAACCCTAACCCTAACCCTAACCCTAAACCTGTTTATCCATATTCTCTGAAATTGATTTTTTTTTAATTTTGTTTTACAGTGTTATTGCATGGAGGACAAACGCGCTGGGAAGAAGAGAGCGGTGAATACTGAAGGGAGGAGCAAGCACCGACATGATGTATCTTCCTCCTCTCAGCCCCAGGCTGTGCATCAGGCTCCGGACCTGCCGTTCGGATATTTATTTGAGGATGACGCTGGTGCACACGAGCGATTTGTGAAGTTTTTCATGAGCCGAAAAATTTGTGAGCCGAAATCACTGGATTCGGCGTTCTTCAATTTGGAGCGGTTCGACATAGTCCCACTTCTTCAGCAAACACATTTACTGGTGCTTGTGGAGATGAGGTGCCCGTACTCAGAGGTCATGGTGCGAGCATTCTACCAGAACCTGGGCTATGTGCATGGTGAGCTAACTTCCCGTGTATGCGGGATTGATATCATCCTTACTGCTCCTATGTGGACAGAGTTGCTGGGATTTGACTTCGACGGTGAGACAGGGTCAGCACTATATGACAGAGACAACCATCATATATTTGGTGGTTATGATAGGGAGGCTGTTGTGGCTGAGACCAGGAGGGCAGATGCAGAGGCCAGATAATTTGCTCATTATCCTGTCAGCAATTTGTCCGTGTCTGCCCGCATACTTCATTATATGGTGACCCACATTATTTTCCAGCGCCCTCATAATCATTCGAAGGTGCTGGAAGGTGACTTTGTGATATTGTGGGCCCTCCTTCACCATATTAAGGTGAACTGGAGGCACTACATATGCATCTTGATGTGGAAGGCGGCCAAGTCAAAAAAGGCTGAATTGCTATTTGCATTCCTGGTCCAGAAGATTTTGCACAGATTTGGTGTTCCTATGGCAACTGAGACCATGAAGACAGCTACATGATGGAATGCCATCTTTGGGGAGCGCCTTTTGAAGCAATGCGGGATTATGCAGAGCCCAGCAGGTGTGTGGTACTGGAAGAAGGCACCTGAACCACCAGAGGTCCCCCTTCAGCACGATGCTCAGATGGAGGATGCAGGTGCAGGTAAATGTTTTTTGGATTTAGGGTAGCAGTAGGGTTAATGTTTTTGCACCATCCACATTTTAATGTCTACTTTTTATGATGTTGATGCAGGACTTGATGATGACTCAAATGATGTTGTCCATGTTGTTGATCCCACTCCTGCACATCGCAGCCGCACACGGCGACCACCAGGTCCACCATCACTTGAGGGGGGATGGACAGCTCCTGAGGGAGGATGGACATTTGATCATGTGATGGCCTCCATGTATCGCTTGACATGTGGACAGGACGCCATGATGAGTGAGTTTAGGGGCTACAGACAGAGTACAAGCAAGTGGCGAACAACGATGGAAAGCAGGATGACACGCTTGGAGGGTGGATCAGCAGGGGGTCATGATATAGGTGATGAGGCTGTTGAGGACGACGACGATGATGAGGATGACAATGATGACCAGGATACACATCGGATTCCAGGCAGTAGGGTTTAGGGTGACATGGCTGGGGTAGATTTGATTTATGTATTTTGTTAGGCTGTAAGTTGGATCTTAATGTATGTATGCAGCCCATTTTTTGGTGGTATAAGGTTTTATCTGATGATGGTCCCGTGTAGTTTTTTAAATATATGAAGAACCCAGTTATGAAATTTGGTGTTATCTGATTTGTACTGTATTTTCCAAGTTTTGAATGAATTTTGAAGTAAATTCGATGTCTGTTATTAACGTGCATACCTCGTAATTTCATTCGCGCACATCAACCTATCCGATTACAATATGTGCCCATACAGATGAGCGCCGTCAATTTGAATTATAGGCTTGCAGTATTTGAATGCTTCAATGCACTGGTGAAATGTCCAAAAAACCCTATGAAATATAGATCTGTCTGTATAAACCCGACGTTCGTCACAACATGGATTTGTATCAAGCTTGAACACAGAACCCACATTCACCTGCGTCATATACGTCAGCAAATTGGGCAAGAATCCATAGGATTTCTCCTTGTCACCATACAACTTAACAATGGCTTTCATTTTTGCCTTCCAAGCCTTCCTGTACGTGATGTTGTATCCATATATTCCTTGTATCCTCTCTTGTATCAGAACTGGTTTTGTAGCTGGATCTTCCTTTAACATCTATGTAAAAAAAAACACAACTTTACCATATTCTCAATTAGAAGATTCGTTAAGTACATGGTAGAATACATACTTATAATAGCCGCACAGATTACATCTGAGTCCAACTGTCTATGATCCTGTGAAAGGCCTTGATTCAGGCATGTGTGATCTTCACCCCATTTACGGACCACCCAATTAGCTCCCTTCTTGGGCTTGATTGCCCTCATAAACCATGGACATCCGTCAGTATGGTTTCTACATTTCATAACAAATCTGGACTCGTCACTTTTTTCGACTATGGCTGTCTTGCGCCCCTTCATACAATGTATCTTCACAACATGTTGCATTTCTGGATTGGAGCCAAATTCTTGTTGCACAAATAATGGATCTCCTAACTTCCAACCTCCGTGCAAGTCATCATCCCCATACAGGATCTCCAACTCGTCATTAGGGTGCGCCCAATTAATGAATGAATAATGTTGGCTTTCATTCCAAAATGGCTCTACCGCAGTCCCTGCATCTAAAGCTTCATTGATTATTGTCTGAATCAATATCACCGAATATATATAATTTATTAAAGCAAATGTGAAAATTTAATAACTTACCGCTACTAACAGGGTCAACATGAAGTGGTGAACTGACAGGATCAACATGAAGTGGTGACATGACTGGGGTACCCAGCCTTACAGCGCTCGTGTCAGCGTCAAAATTTTCATCCATGTCAGTGTCAGACGAATCACCCTGTGGAATAGCACTTTCAGATTCTCCTTCATCTTCGTTGTCCACATACTCCTCATCTTCATCGTCTTCATCCTCATCCATTGTTACCTGAGCAGGTGCAGATGATCGTACAATTGTATCTTCTTGACCAATACAGTGCGCAGTGGTTGTATGCACCGGTAACGACGAAGACTGACCAGCATCAAATTCAACATATATCTCAATCATTTTTAATACTTTCCATCCAACACACGCATCCGTGACGAACTCCACATCTTCATCATCATTGATATCGTTACCAATGTAGTATATTGTATCCATATCCACAACAGTCTCTAACCTGGCTATCATGCGGTGGATGGAATGGATGCCTTCTGACCCCATTTTTTGGAGAATTCTGTCCTTGAGTTCATTGCATGTAGTGCCCACTTTGATTTTCATCGTTTTTGTTTTTCCTTCAAATCGGACACCATTCAGACCTTCAAAATGCCTCCCATTGTAGTAAATAACTATAGGTACCATGATAGGACTTGAACTCATCTTTCACACGAAAATTTGGGTTTAGGTTTTGGGTTTGGATCTTGGTTCAGATTTTTTAACACAAAATGGAAATGTGGAGGTGTAATGCCAATGTCCTACCAAGATTAAGCTTTTTGAGATGACGAGATGAAATATATGTGTGATATTTCGGAATAGAGACGTGAAGGGAAACTGATTTGGGGAGAAAAAACTCTACCTCGCAACAATGGCCGAAACCCTTGGTATTGGGTACCATATTCGCGAAATCTACCCGGGTACCCCATTACCTACCCGGGTAAATAATTCAAAATTTTTTCAGATTGAAGAACAATACCCGGGTACCCCCTACCTACCCGGGTATGGTTGATTTTTTTAAAATATACCCGGGTATGGAGTGGGGTACCCGGGTATGCTTCGTGGTCAACGGTCAAACAGGGGCAGATTGGTGTTAAGTTTGTTTGGAGGGTTAATTTTTCGTAATAGTTTCTAATCGAGGGCAATTTGATAAATAATTATTAATAAAGGGCTACAGTGGTCAAAAAGCCGAGCTCATGAGATTAATAAAGCCTTATAAAAAACCTAACCTAGAAAAAAAAACATAAGAAACTGGTCAAAAAGGGCCATTTTATCCACGTCACCAGATTGGGACACGTGTCAAAGCGTGGTTTGTCGACACACGTACTACTCTCTCCCCCACGAGCAAAGCCAAAGCTTTGGCCCTTTCTTTATTTGAATCCAAAGCTCCATTCTTCGGAACCTTGACCTCTTCCTCTTTCCTTTCAACCTCTCCGATTCCGAATCGGAATCGCAATCGCAATCCCTAATTTTTATTTTTATATAAAATTCTCAATTGATCGCAGATCTTCAACAAATCGGTAAAGTCTCTCCCACTTTAATTCGTTTCCGAGAATTCTTAGATTTACAGATCTGTTTCAATTTCTGGCTTTGTTCGATCTCCATTTGTCTTCTGTTATTAGTTTTATGCCTTTGCGCATCTTGCATGTGCGTCAATGCTGTGGAATTCCGGTGTGCGTTGTTGTGTGAAGGAACATGTTATGTGGGAATTGTCATTTGCGGGCTTGCAATTAGGGTTTTGAATTCGTTCGAGTGTTCGTATTTGTTTTTTTTTTTTTTTTGTCTTCAAGCGCGTTGATACAGATCTAGCTGGATCGAGTGGGGTATTGCTTCGCATGATTTGCTCGGTGGTTTTTTTGTTTTTTATTTTTTATTTTTTGTGATGAATGTTGGTGATCTGTGACTGTCTATGCTTTTCTGATTGGTTTACTTGTTTTATTGTAAAGTTATTTTTTAAAACCACAGATAAGGACTTGTTAGATTGCGTAGTTTATAGTATTCAATGCATGTATCAAAAGTTTGAATCGGTGAAAATTTGTTTTTAATTTTTTCTCTACGGTGTTATGTAAGCTGGTAATTTAATTAATATATGAATCATTGGACGTTGTTCGGATACATTCATGCCTTGTAGACATGACAATCTTTTAATTCTGGAATTTGAGCTGAAAGTGAATATTTTTCCTTTTTTCTAAAAAAAAAGATATGTTTGGTAATTTTCGTTGTTTTACACAGTGTCATTGTTTCCTTTGTGTATAGTTAAATGCTCAAACTCAAAATAATCTCAGAAGTCTAAGTTTCTTAATGGGCATCTTTGCAAGCTGGTTAAATACTCTTGCAACCAATATGGGAACTATTGCAAGCATTATGGGTTTCGCTGACTAGATGTTAGGCTAGGAAGAGATTTTATGTACTCTTTCTGCTCCTGCACCTTCTCACCCCAATCTCCATCCAATAAAAGAAAATGGAGAGAACTTAATAAACAATTATCATTTCATGTATATTTTCACCTTGCTTCATTTTTATTTATTTTTTATGAATTTTCATTTGGATGCTGAGATGTGCCTTTAAAGTATTAATTTTTGTTTTTCTCCCCCCTTTGGGAATCCACTTATGACTTATCTATGCATTATAAATGTCTGGTGCAGACTAAATTCTTGTAGTTCGGTAAGATGGGAGGTGGATTTAGAGTGCTTCATTTAGTCAGACCATTTCTCGCATTTCTTCCTGAAGTTCAGACTGCTGACAGGAAAGTGCCATTTAGGGAGAAGGTCATATATACTGTGATATCTCTGTTCATTTTCCTGGTTTGTAGTCAGCTCCCTCTGTATGGAATTCACTCAACAACAGGTGCAGATCCATTCTATTGGATGCGTGTTATCCTTGCTTCAAACCGTGGAACTGTTATGGAGCTTGGAATCACCCCCATTGTGACTTCTGGGCTGGTTATGCAACTTTTGGCTGGGTCAAAAATCATTGAAGTTGACAATAATGTACGGGAGGATCGTGCTCTCTTGTAAGCGTCTTTCTTTGTAAATATTAATTTCTTTGTATGTTTATGTTATATTTTCCCTTTTTCCTATCTCAGTATTTTAAGTTAATTGCATTTATTGTCGTCATTTTGTCATGCATTGCTTCATTTGACAGTGTATAAAATTTATTTAGCATGTGTGCTGGGTTATGTCTTATAGTGTTCAGAAATTATTTTTTTGACCTCATCTGTGAGAACATTGATATATACTGCTTACTGAGATAAATTCCTCTTTCTCTCCCAGAAATGGTGCACAGAAGCTACTTGGCATCTTGATAGCTGTTGGAGAGGCAGTTGCCTATGTTCTTTCTGGGATGTATGGAAGTGTCGGCCAACTTGGAGTGGGAAATGCCATACTCATTATCATGCAGCTCTTTTTTGCTGGTATCATTGTGATATGTTTAGATGAGCTCCTTCAAAAAGGATATGGTTTGGGGTCTGGAATTTCTCTATTCATTGCCACTAATATCTGGTAAGTTTTGTATCTCTTTTTTCTATTATTAGTAATTTGTTTCCAGCATTGAGGCTTTGAGCTTTGTGATTTATAGCAATCATTAAACAAAGTATATGGCCTTTTATTAAGAACCTACAAAGAATTCTTTCATTATGTTGCAGTGAAAACATTATATGGAAAGCATTTAGTCCCACCACCATTAACAGTGGACGGGGAGCTGAATTTGAGGGTGCTGTTATTGCTCTATTCCATTTGTTGATAACTAGAACAGACAAGGTTCGTGCCCTCCGCGAGGCATTTTACCGGCAGAATCTTCCAAATGTGACAAATCTGCTTGCAACCGTCTTGATCTTCCTAATTGTGATATACTTCCAAGGTTTTCGTGTGGTTTTGCCTGTAAGATCAAAGAATGCCCGTGGACAGCAGGGTTCATATCCTATTAAACTGTTTTATACCTCCAACATGCCCATTATTCTTCAGTCTGCCCTCGTTTCCAATCTCTACTTCATTTCCCAGGTAGTGGAGTTTCATGATGGTAAATTGCTATGTGGAGTAAATATTTGGTTACTTTTTAACAATATGATTTTACTGTATTTTGACAGCTGCTGCACCGAAAGTACAGTGGAAACTTCTTTGTAAATCTGTTGGGCAAATGGAAGGATTCTGAATATGGAGGTGGTCAGTCTATTCCTGTTGGTGGTATTGCATACTACATCACTGCACCATCTAGGTAAGATGGGTTCTTCTCTTCATATGGTTTATAAAGATATAAATTCTGTGCCTTGTTTGTTATACCTATATGGTCTAAAACTTCAACAGTTATATATATAGTTCTTAATTATTTTCATAACTTTAATTTGTGTTTTTGCACCTTTTTTTTTGCAGCTTAGCTGATATGGCAGCCAATCCTTTCCATGCATTGTTCTATCTTGTGTTTATGCTGTCAGCCTGTGCATTGTTCTCTAAAACTTGGATTGAAGTCTCTGGTTCGTCTGCTAAAGATGTTGCCAAGCAGCTGAAGGTACTGACTAACTAAAATGCATTTTTTTCCAATCATTTTTTTGTTTGTACCTGTAACTTTCGTACTTTGCAATATAATTAACCTGCTTTTTCATCATATAAGCAGTGTGATTTATAATGTTGTGAGATGTTGAAAGTATTAATTCCCAATTGCCATGATTTATTACTGGATAATTTCCGCATAAAAACACATGAAGAATATTTGACAGAATTGGGGCTAGAAAACTATCTTTAGAAGCAATACTGTCTAAAGGTTATAGTGTTTACGTATTGCTTTTAGTAAGCTAGTGTTTAAGTATTGCTTTTAGTAAGTTGATCATAGTCTTATTGCGATGCACTCTGTTTAATACATGGAAATTGATCTTTGTATTAAAGCTCACGAGTGAGCTGAATCTGTTCTGTTGTTTTTTTAAAATTTCTGCTGCCAAAACATCGTATTTTAATTTGCAGGAACAACAAATGGTTATGCCTGGGCATCGGGAGTCAAACTTACAGAAAGAGCTGAATCGATACATTCCCACTGCTGCAGCATTTGGAGGCATGTGTATTGGTGCCCTGACAGTGTTGGCAGATTTCATGGGGGCAATTGGTTCAGGTACCGGAATATTACTTGCAGTAACTATCATCTATCAGTACTTCGAGACATTTGAGAAGGAGAGAGCCAGTGAGCTTGGCTTCTTTGGTTTCTAAGCTCTGCTTAGCAATTACTGTTGGGGACGCAATTGGACTCTCCCGCACCCGCAGTTTTGTTGTATTGAGGAATGGTTGTAGCTTGTTTAACACAGTAAGGGAGGACTTAGATTAGCTTGTTATCACTTTTTCTCAACTAAGTACAAAGTAGTATATCATTGTAAACGTATTTGGATTTTCTCTGAATTTACTCATGTTAATTTAATTTTTCAAAGTCGACAGTACACCACGGGTTAAAAGTGGATCTTAATTGATCAGCTTTGTTTTGGAAATTACTTAGTATTTGATATTAATTTTCTCGAGGTGCCTGGCTGTAGTTTTTCTTTTTTACATGAATGTTTCTTTTGAAAATGTTTCTAGTATAACGACAAACCAATTAAGAAGAATTAGTCTGGCAGAGTTGATACTAACGAGCCTCAATATTTTCACCGCCAAATGGCAATTCTTCTTCATCCAGAAAGTCTTGGACTTTTTTGTAAAGCAAGGGACCACGATCATTTTGGCATGTTATTGGCAAAAATTTTACGAAATGCCATGTTAAAATGCCATGTCATAAAAAATGCTATAACACCTGGTGTTTCAATTTTATGTTTGGACATGTGGCAGAGAGTTTGAAACCATGTAAACTCGCTGAATAGTCCAGCAATCGGTCAACATGTTAGGTCTAAGTTGCATTTTTGCGCTATAGTCTCTATATTATTCTTATTCAACGACTTCAATCCTCTCTCTGCACGTGTCAAACAATAAATAACATGGCATATGCATATGGAGTGTCAATCACGAGAGAAAAGTATATGATTTTTAAATATTTGATTGTAATCAAATAATATGACCACATGGTTATTTTTTTATATCCAAATATCTAAATCCATTAGATTCACTAACAACAGCTATAAGATGCCAACAACCATTAAACAAATTAATGGGTGACATTCACACAAACTAATCCAAAACAATTTATCGTTACACTCAATGCACACACAGACACATATTTATTTAAGGGATTAGTGTTGGTTAAAGTAAATAAATATATATAAAAGTATGTGGGATTAATTTTTTTTTTTCTTTTTCATATGGACTTTACATATTTTTATGTGTATTTTGAAGATAAAATTAACCCTTTTATTTAATATAGTTTTTGGAACAATTACATCCATCAATAACTTTATTAACATTGAGTTCAATAGTGATGTTTGTACATCATTTTCAGTATACCATTTTTACATAAAAAAAATTTAGATAACAAAATAAGAAAAACACGTGTTTCAAAAAACTAATTTATTGTTATGAATACAGATAACAATAATCTAATATTATGATTTCATCCATGAGAACAGAATTAAGCGGCTCGATTAAATCTTGCAAAGAATAGTTACTAACAAAGTCCTTCCTTTCCATAATTTTTGTGCTTTTGTCTTAGAAATCCTAGCTATCCAATGAGCAAACCTAGCAATCCTACAATTTACAGGACATTCATGTAAAAGCAATATCAACGATTCACATTTTAATTAGAAACTAACTAGGACAGGAATACAGGATTGAATGACAGAATATACTAAAAACAAATATGACATTAAAACAGTAGCTAAAATAATGCAATTTACTTGAAAACAAACAATAAATAAATTCAGAAATGTTAATATAGCTCTATTCTCATAGAGCTAACACCAACCCAGCTTAGACATAGAAACTACTTATCAAAACATTGAGGGATACTTTATTATTTGAGATTAATGTTTTTCCTTTTAAAGGATATAAAATTATATTATTTTAGTCAAAACTATTGTGTTTTATGATGAGAAACAAAAATCATGGTTGAAAAAAGTGGGAGGTTTTTTTTTTCTAATTTAAATATTAAATAAAAAATAATGGTTTTATTACAAGTCTCGCATTGATTGTATAGGCAACTAATGTATGATTAATAATAGGGGTGTCAATATAGGTTATGACACGTGGGTCGACCCGCGACACGACACGAAAATTCGTGTTCGGGTTGACCCGTAAAAAAATTCGTGTCGTGTTCGTGTTAGGAAAAATGACACGTAAAAAATTTGTGTCATGTTCGTGTCGACCCATATTTTTTTTAATTATTTTATTTATTTTTTATTTTTATTTTTATTTTTATTTAATTTTGAACCATTTTTTTTAATTTTTTTGTCAATTACCGTTTTGACCCCTATTTTGCGTGTTATTCGTGTCGTGTCAACCCACAAAAAATTCGTGTCGTGACAGTGTTGAAGATTTTGACACGAATAAAAATTCGTGTCGTGTTAGTGTTGATGTATTCGTGTCGTGTCAAATTCGTGTCGTGTCAATCCATTTTGACACCCCTAGTTTATAAGGTCTTGGGCACTCCTACCCTTTGAGTTAACTTTTATAGTGGTGACCTCAAGGTCTGTAACAATTGGTACTTTTATTGAGTTGAGGCCAAAAAAAGGGCTACCTATAGATTGTATTAAGGTGTCATACCTTTCAAAGGGGTGTTGTACTGAATACTGATAAGTGAATGAAGCCACCAAAAGGAAAATGGCTATCACTAGGTCAATGTCGATAAAATGAAAGTCATCGTAGATGGTGGCCCTTAAAGGGGGTGACAATATTACAAATGAGATCAGTAACATATTTTAACTAAAATGACTATCCTTTGAAAGAACAAATATTTTTCTCTTACTCTTTATGGGTCCCCCGATGTCCTGCAACAGGACATTCTGCCAAAAAAAAAAAAAAACAATCCTGCAACAGGATATTCTGCAAAAAATAAAAAAGCTATGTACTAAGGGTAGTATATAGTTTTTTTCATACCTCTTATAACTATGTACTATCCATAGTACATAGTTATAATATTAAAGTTTTTTTTTTATACTCCTTATAGTTATGTAGTACCTGCAATAATACATAGTTATTTTTTTGTTGTAGGAATTCCCGCAACATGATTCGTATATTTCCCATTCTTTATAGGGCTTTATACCTGTGCTGTGAATGCAGAGCATCAGATTTTGCAGTAAAGAGAAACAAACGTGGGATCCACCATATCTTTTGAAAAATAAAAATAAAATTAATATGACATAAATTGTGATGAGCCTATGGCTGCAAAAAACTTCTTATCTGACAGAAGAAGTGTTTTACCCTTCTTTATATCACCTATGGATTTTGTTACTAATTTGAGGTATAATATTGTCTCAAAATGTACAAAACGTTAAAACGATGTCCATTCTCTTAAGTTGTGGATCGTGGCTCTACATTATGGGCAACAACTTTGAACCTGAGAAGCTGAACAACAGGAGCTAGCACGGCAGTGCCACATTTTCTTCATAATTTTTTTTTTTCATTGCCAACCCTATCCCCTAAGTTCCACAAATTTCGTTTTCTTTCATTTGGGTTGATGACATGTCTCCTATATGATTGTGGTATATTATTCGAGTATTTGGCTTGGTTGCATGCATTAATTTTCCTATGTTGTCATGGTCATTGGTAGTTTGTGTTCTTTCCTTCATAACTTGAGCTAGACACATTGGATTTTGGGGCTTTTTTCTAGATGCATAGAGCTTTTAGCCAACAAAATTCCAGTTTTTAACTCCTTTCTATTACAAATTTTTGTTCAAAGTTATTGTCAATCATTGCTTTATCAAGTTTAGACAACATTGTATTTATTCATTCATCCGTAACTTGAATTGTGACATATCCTTTCAATGCTAGACTTATTGCATTAGAAAGTTAAGACATTAAAGTACTTTGGGTAAAATTTTCATGAACTATACCTAATAGATGAAGTAGCAGTTTTGTTTTAAGATAAACTAGTTCTTGTATAGTTGATAAAATGCAGACACCAGGCATAAGATAGTGAGGACTAGGATAATCTAAAGTAGGTCCGTTGGCTAGAGCTAGGCGATGATGTTGCACTATGGGGAAGTCAAAAGGCCGATTGGATAGTCCAGCTTTTGACAGAATTCCATCCTTGCTATAGGCAAATTTTAAGCCTAAGATATATTTTAAGGGCCTTAAGTCTATGATGCAAAAATATGAACAAAGTTCAATATCATCGACATAAATGAGGAGAGCAAAGAAATTATTTCTTAGAGAGAAGATGAAGAAAGTGTAGCTTGGCTATGATTGAATAAAGCTAAAGGATAACAACTAAACTGCTTATAGACCATGCCAGGATGGTTGGAGCCAAAACCACGGGAAAGATACATGTTTACCTCTTCCTCAAGATCACCGTGTAAGAAAGCATTATTGACATTCAGTTGTTGTAACTCTAAGTCATTCGTAACAAGAAGTGAGAGGAAAATGCTAGCCATTTTTGTAACAAGAGCATAAGTATCAATATAATCCTCCCCTTCATTTTTTTTTGTTACAAATCATCACCAAACATACCTTGTATCTCTCAATTGACCCATAAGATGTATTACTTGATTTTATAAACTCATTTGCTAGGGATAGCCTTTCTATTAGGATGAAAGTTGCATGCTCTACATTAGTGAAAACAATGAATTTATCAAAATCTTCAAAAAGAAAGTCAATCCAATAAAAGTTGCCACTAAAAACAAATTTGCTCTTCATATAGTCAGACTCTATATTTGCAGAGTAAAGCCTGCACCATGTCAGGTTTTAGTGCACTTCTATATTGGTTAAGCACGCTTCCCCAAACACTAAAAGCACTTTTTGAAACAATACTAGAAACAGGTATTCCAAATACATCTCTAGCCATTGTAGCAATCTCGAAATATCAATATTGCTTATCCCTCTAATATGACAATACATTCATTTCAGTGTTTACATCAATCCTTGGATCCTCTAAATAGAGTACAAGTTGTGTTTTTCGGGAACAATCACTTCATTTAAGTTTTTAAACTCCTAATAGCATTAAAGATATATGTCACTATCAATATATAAATAACTAAGTAGATGCTAATTAGACGGATGGAGTTAGATAAAATGAATGAACAAAAATAGAAATGAACTTACACTCAAAAAATATCTAGCTACTACAACATATGAAGTTTGATTATATGCTTTGTTCACATTATCTCTAGCCCTGGTTGATGAAGCTCCTGTTGAACAACTTAAAGAGTAGCACCTAGCTCACTATAAGCATACTTACTAAACAGATACATCAACTTGTTCTTAACCCTTGTTGCCTCATTTATACTATTATCACCATATAGTTTATCATAGTACCATTCAACAAAAATTCATCTTACACCTAGGATTTAAGATGACAACTTTAGCCAAAATCATATTGAAACCATACTAGTACTTTTGAA